CTCATATCTTTGCACAAATAACAATCTAGATGTATACAAATTGCACATGCTTGGCAGTACTGTACCTTAAATGTTGTGACGTCTTCAGATGTTCGTGGCACTCGACGAGTTCCCAATAGTGCTTAAGGCTGTTCTTGGAGTAAAATGGGGATTTTTCTCATCTCTCTTAAATAAGACAACAATATTTAATGGTGATACTCTGCGAAGAGCTAATTAGATTCACATGGATCTAGCGCTGCAATTGCATCCCAGACTGCACAGTTCATTTTAACATTAAGTGGATTTTCAACATGCATAAAACTTGCAAGATCAAACCTGGCAATAATTTCTTCTGACATGGGGAGTTTGTTTCAAAATTACAGTTAGAGAAAATGAATCTAAACATATCATTATATTTCATTTAAACTGTAAATGCTTAAATGGCTTGTGTGTAAAAATGAATATATAAAGAAAAATAGATTTGCAACTAATTGACATATTTTGCAGCTGATATTAATACAAAAATTGTCTTCAAGATTATAACTTGCACTTTGTCTGGGAACTCCTGAATAAATTCTTCATTTCAACATATAAAACTGCTGAAAACATAGGGTATAATCTGTACCAGTACAAAAGTTGTCTGCTGAGGTGCATGGGATCTGCCTTACCCAATCAGACAAGTAGTGTGTAGAGCAATGTCTCTGATCATCATAATTATAATGTTGATTAAAGAGTTTCAACTCATAAGGAAAGTTTCTTTCTGTATCAGCTGGAAGTATGCTTATGAGTTTAAAGCGTGAAAATTTAAACCTTTTTTTTCCCCAGAAGTCTTGGCATCTGTTTGGGTTAATTTTGGATTTCTTTCATTATTTGTCTTTGTTCTTGTTTTCTATATAAAATGTACAGTCCTTTATTTGAATCCTCATAACCTAATATCACTTTGGTATGTCTATTTATATAATTACAGCTGGGGGGAGGGATTCTTCCTGTAGGGGATGCATATATAAGGTTCTTCCAAGTTCTTTATAAAAACATGTAGGTCAAATGTTTTTGTAAGCACCTTCAAAGTTCTGTCTCTGGGGGCTGGATTGATGAAACTGATGTTAGAATTAATAAAATATTTTGTGACTCAGTAGAGTGGCATCTTTTTTTCTTATGGTCTTATGGTTTTGTTCTAATCATTTCTCTGATCTCTTAGGCTCTGATCCTTGCAGCACTTGGAGAAAGACAGCTTTATGCTCTATCAGGTTCCTTTTGTTGAACTCATTAGTGCTTTCGTTCACCTGCTAGCAGCAACTGTGTTCAGTTTATGGAGCCACAAATCAAAACTGGGTGTCTGCATGACAGAGTTGTTAGAACTCCAGCAATACAGCAAGATTTTCTGTTTTTTTTCTGCTTTGCCTTCATGCCTTTTGATTGAAATCCATTAATAAATTAATGAAAGCCCAACTATTAAAATTGCAGACAAAACTCTCATTGATCTGTGAGAATGTTCTTAGGTTTGGAACTCCAAAATTTTGTCAGTAGGTGATGGTATGCAGC